AAGACCTGGATGGGGTCTGAGGAGCCTTAGTGAAGTTTTGGGGAGGTATTTACAGAAAAGATTTGGGTGACTATTGATTTCTAGTGTACTTAGCTTAAGCACTAAACTAAAGAAGCGCAATTCTATTTGGTTCATTGACAACGTCTGTGGCAAGAGGAATATATTCAGAAAAAAATGTTTTTACAGTTTCAATATAATTACAATAAAATATATGCTTGGCATTTGTAAGAATAGCCAATTGAAAGTAACCAGTCAGTGGTTGCACTGATATTAAACACTGGTCTAATGCTAATTGTGCGTGTGTTAGGATTTTGGTTCTTGAGGGTATGAAATCCGCAACACAGGTGAACTAAAGTGAGAAGTGGGCGGGGCCGAACAGGTGCTAAGGTATCGTAGACTATCCTGGGACGAGCTTGAGTTCAGTCCATCCTCTTGAATGGCCTTATGTCCATGGGACTTACTCAAATTGGCATGGACTAGCGCTGGAACTACGCTAGCAGTTAGCGAGGATGAGGCACAGCGTGCCAGGCTGTCCTGCATGTGCTGTCGATACACCTCCATCAGCTGGGTCTCCAGATAGCCGTTTAGCATCGAGTTGGTCAGCCTCGGTTCCGAACCTGGGCCTTGTATACTCTCTATCACCAGGTAGCCCTCATCCGGCTTGGCCGGGCAATCCACTTCCTGTCCAGTCTCATTAAAGGCCTCCAGGGAGCCGAGGTCCTGGGACTGCAGCAGAGGACCATGGGATTGGGAGATGAGGTGTGCTGGGTTATGTAAATGATGGGGGCCCCTTAGAGTGTCTCCCGCCAGCTGTAGGTCAGGGTAGGCCTTGCAGATGCTGGGGCAGCTCCCGGAAATGTAGTGCTCCATCTCCCAGTGGTTCTCCACACTGCAGGTGGGAATGCTGAGGGCCATGCTGGGTGTTGAGGTCAGGCAATGGCCAGGCTTCTCTCGGCCTTCAGGCCGTGCGGCTAGCCAGAAAGAAACAAGTTTTAGAGTTTTAAAACTACACTGGTGACATCCTGTATAAAGTCCCACTGGTGACATCCTGTATAAATAAAAATAATGCGTGGCCACGACTTACTAAGGCGTGGGAATGAGATGATTAAGTTGTGGCCACGACTTAGTAAAGCATGGGAATGAGATCCTAATGCGTGGCCATGACTTAGAAAGCCGTGATCTCGTTCCCATGCCTTACTAAGTCATGGCCACGCATTAGCATCTCGTTCCCACGTGTTAATAAGGCCACGCATTATTTTTATTTATACAGAATGTCATCATCAGGGCTCTGTAGAAAACAGTTTATACATGCATAAGATTAACCATCTGGACACCAGGAAGAGTAACTGATGCCCTTCGCACAGCTTTTGGTGATCCAAATAAATTAATAAACAAAACAAAATATGACCAAGTAAAGCTAAACACTGCAGACAATCAAGGGAATTAAGCCAACATGGCTCCCTACTTCCTATATAGCTTACATCATAGCTGTTTACCTTAGCTAGCATGAGCTAATGACCTTTGTGCCTGAATGCAAAGTCCTGATAGGCCACAGAATAGCAGAATTTAGCTTTGATAATGAGTTCATGAGTTATAAGAGGTGTTTGCAATATTCTGCATGGTGCTACAGTGCTAATTCTGCCAAATAGGAATACTGCTCTGTTTTAGCGAAGTGCTCCAGTGCCCTTTGGTGATGTGGTAGAGGCTACAGTAGCAATATTTAAAAAAACTTTAAAAACTTTAGGACTAAAGGATCATTTCTTCTCCAGTTGACATCTTGAAAGGTTTTAATGGCTATGTAACCACAACAAATCGGGTTTAGGCTGGGTGACTAGAAGCAATGGAATACAGTTTCAAGTCAAAAAAGTACATTAGTTAGCTGTCCATAGCTGCTCTTTTTTAAGTACAATATTAAATCAATATTACTGTCTATGGTAATCGACAGCGTGATGCAGCAGATAGACTGAAGGAAAAAAAAACTCTGGAGTATTAATTTCATTTTCTTTACAAAACTACATTACCCAGAATGCTCACCTCGCAAGGCCCGAGGTGTCAGTGGTGATTTGAAGGTCAGTTGAGTCATGGTGGTTTCAGGTGGAGGAGTGGCTTGTAAGTGTGTGTTCTGGTCCCTGCAGGCAGTGTGTTCAGGGCCTTCCTGTGTGTACTTCAGAACGTGGAGGAACGCTTCACCAAGCATGATGACGTCCTACAGGTCTGACATACACATTGACATACATGAAACCATTAGTTGTCGTATTAGTAATATTAGTATATCACAGACACTGAGGTGCGATCTTGTCCGGAAGGTTTTTTTAATGACTAATTTATTAATTTATTTTTATAACAGTGTGACACGCTGCCAAATACAGTTGAAATTACGTAATGAGCTTTGTGGTCAGTGATCACAGCTGGCACACATACGCACATCAGCTCAGCATACGCACACACACACGTAAGCACACATGGTGAAACACTCACATGAAATTAACAAAAAATTGAAAAGAACAAACACACACTAGACCTGCGCGATTACTGCGTAATCACCTGATCACAATTATTTGAGATGATTGCAGTTATTTAAGCTGACAACAATTATTTTCCACAGCTAGTTTTCACAATCATGCTGCATCACAACAAGCAGCAACTGGAATATTAAAATCAATGGTTTTCTCAGTGGGCTTGAAATTGGAGAGCGTGCCTATGTCTCCAGGGCTCTATATCCTCAGGGTTCTATGTTCCCAAGGTTCTAAGTCACCAGGGTTCTATATTATCAGGGTTCTATGTTCATGTTGCCAGGGTCCTATGTTCCCAGGGCCTTATCTTCCATGGCTCTATATTCCCATGGTGCTGTTTTTTTTCCAGAGCCCTATGTTCCCAGGGTCCTATATTATCAGGGTTCTATGTTTATGTTGCCAGGGTCCTATGTTCCCAGCGCCCTATCTTTCAGGGTTCTATATTCCCATGGTGCTATGTTTCCAAGGCCCTATGTTCCCAGGGTCCTATATTATCTGGATTTTATGATCATGTTTATGTTGCCAGGGTCCTATGTTCCCAGGGCCTTATCTTCCAGGGTTCTATCTCCCCAGGGCCCTATGTTCCCAGGATTCTAGGATCCCAGGGCCCTATCTTTCAGGGTTCTATATTCCCATGGTGCTGTTTCCAGGGCCCTACATTCCCAGGGTCCTATATTATCAGGGTTCTATGTTTATGTTGCCAGGGTCCTATGTTCCCAGGGCCTCATCTTCCAGGGTTCTATGTCCCCAGAGCCCTCTTTTCCCAGGATTCTAGGTTCCCAAGGCCCTATCTTTCAGGGTTCTATATTTCCATGGTGCTATGTTTCCAGGGTCCTATGTTCCCAGGATATGGACAAGAAATTAGGTTTCAGCAACTGCGCAGATAAAACCAAGACCACCTTAAATCCACAAACACTTTACTGAATAAAGGGTTTTGTTGATATTTGTGGAACAATACTGATTATTCCCATTTTTCACTGCCTAAAACATTGTTCACATACATCTCTCCAATTATAACCTACCTACACAGATATGTTCATTATGGCTTAGTTTTGAGGATCTAATAAAAGCACTTCCGATTAGCCCTGCTGACATCCTATGACATGCTAAGAATGTTGATGTAATATCTTTAAGTTCCCTTTTTCCTGTAACGGTTAAAAACTGTAAATCTATTGTGTGAAAGAGACTGGATGAGAATAGTATGACTCTGTTATTACGTGGCCACATCAGATTTCTTTCCACATACATAGTTTACTGAGAATTTCATGCCCAAGAAGCCTATAATAAGCGTCCCAACAAGCAAGAATCTGTCAATGTACATGACTCTTCTTCATTCAAATATCACTGGGGTTTTAAACACAAGACACTAAAGTTTGATATATGATTAAATGAGTAGAGGTTACAGCAGTTTCACCAACAACCAAGAAGGTGATACTAAGATACTAAACTGTACCTTACAGAGTAAGGCTTGTTACTGTGCCTCCTCCATCAGGTGATGGAAGAACCACTCAAAACAAACCTGCAGTGAGAATGGCGGTGGCAGTAAATCTGAATTATTAGGGTAAGAAGTGGTGGAAAGTTTACAGAAGGAACATATAATGCTGCGCTATCCTGATCATATGGAGGATGGAGCTGTTTTTGTTTCATTCCTGAGGCTAAAAAAGTTTTGGATTATACTCTGTGGAAGACCACACTCATATCTCAATGCCAAAACTTTTAATAGACAGATTTATGCTGGCTTTTTTTTTGGAATTTATTCCAATTTTCTCCCAGCCACTGCATCTCTTCGAACTGCTGCTAACGCTACATCATTGGACAGCTGAACACGCTTTGAGGAGAACACTAACTGCCAAAACAGCTCTCACATTTATGACAAAATTATTGTGTGTAAAGATTCCCAGATAGCAAAGGGAATAGCAGGCCACTGTTGGCCTGCTGATGGCAAAGCTGGTGACAAAATTATTGTACTGCAAAAAAAATCTTGTCATGTAAAATTATCTTAAATATAGTCCAGAAATCTAACATTTCTCCTGTTGTAATTATTGTAAGGTTAAATTGAGATTATTTAACTTATTTCTAGACATCTTGTACTTGTTTTAAATAATGTTATATATATAATAAGTATAAATAAGTATAATTATCTCACTACATTGGCAAATAATTTTGCTGGTTTCAAGTACATTTCTTAAAACAAGTGAGCTTATCTGCCAACATAGTGAGATAATTTTACTTAATCTATTTATTACTTAAAACAAGTACAAAATGTCTAGAAATAAGTTAAATAATCTTAAATAGCTCAACTGGAGAAATACTAGATTTAATGACTACATTTAAGATAATTTTACGTGACAAGATTTTTTGCAGAGTATATTAGGCCTATTACATATTTTTTGTTATTTATTTATATTTGTCTTTGTTTATTTTCCAAAATAAAAGTCTGTGCACATTTAAAATCTGTTTGAGGAGATTAAAAACTTTTTAGACCTTGTATGAAGAATAATAATGTAAGTGGTTCGAGGTTGGACCAGCAGTGACATACAGTCAGCGTGGTGCTGACCTTATCAAGCCAGCAGAACGATACGTGCTCGCTAACTGGTTTAATATAATGCACTACATGTGCTATTCTTTGCATTGTTTCATTAAACTTTGCTGAAAGGTCTTTCGCAAAAAATAAGTATCTAACATCATTCTGATTCACTCCAGCGGTAGCTTTAGCGTTAGCTCATCTGAAGGAATAGCTTCCGTCGCTAAAACCTCCTCCTTATCAAGCCGCAGTCACACTAATTTGTTGTCTATTCCTGAAGATTGGTGACAAAAAAAATTGTCTAACAATGTCTGGCAATATAACGGGGTGACTTGTGCAGCTGTGGTTAGCAAACAGTTAGCAAGCTAAGCAAAGTAAAAGTAAAACCACCAAAGTAAAAATAATAGTACAGAACAGTCTCGCAACTTACCGCTTATCACACAATCTGTGTTCATTTATAGCCAGTGGGGGGGACATGTTGAAAGGTTTGTGCTTAGAGTCTGGTTAAATTAGTATTTCCTCTATTTTGGAGATTCAGTGCTGCTATATTAAGAAGTCAATGCAGCCAAAGTCTGTGATGCGAAGTCACTCATCGTGTCAAAATCCTTTGAAATGAATGTAGTTTTGCTTGCAAAAAATTCGCTGGCATACAAAAGTGTAACTAGGCCCTTAAACATGAAAGCCTACTGCTTTTAACATTGAGTGGCTAAACAAATTCCTGGGTCTCAGTAACATACTGAGTTTTTGTTCTCTTTAATTTGGTCTACATGCCCATTTTGTCAGTTCTCAAATGTGTGTCTACATTGAGCATCTTTAAAGATTATTTTTCAATAGAACATGTTTTATATATGTGTGTATTCCTAAACTTTCTTCTGTGCTGCTGTATTTACTCTGTTATTGCAAATGTTACAGATGCTAATAACTGAGGGAGGTGGGACTTTCTTAGACTTTTTCAAATGGTCAGTTGAACCATATTCTATAGGATTTTATTCTATTTATTTATTTGCATTTACTTAACTTAGAAATATGCACCATTCCTAAAGGAAGGTGAATATAGTGTACATTTAAACCAAGTTTAAGGTACATAAATGGACCATGTTGTGCTTTTGAGGGTACACTCTCAAAAATAAAGGTACTAAACTGTCACTGGGGCGGTGCCCCTCTTGCCACTGGGGTGGAACCCTCAAGGGTCCATCTCAGTACCTTTAGTCAGGGAACATAACTGTACCATAATCCACTGAAACAATATTTTCTAAGCTGTACTGACTCCACACACCCCGTCTTGTCTCCAGGCTTTTATTTTACTGTTTTGTTTCAAAACATTCACTTATGAAAAGGTACAAATATGTACTTTTCATCTGGAAAAACTTATTTAAGGTTCACAATTGGACCTTAAGACCACTGTTGTACCTTTGAGGGAACCTTTACATTGTTTATACCTTTATGAACGAAAAAAGTACCTACACAGAACCTTTATTTCCAGAGTATATTCACATTTTTTTTACCCTGAAGGAAAAAAATGTACCTGTACTGTTTTTCCTGACAATGTATGTTGCATCAGTGATAGCCTTGGATTGAATTATTATGTCTACGTGAACATAAATCAAGACATCTTCTACAGAAAACACACTTCTGCACATTTTAATGCATAATTTCCGTATATTTGTTGAATTTAACATTTAAAAAGTTATATTTTATACTTATATATTTTTTAAATATCTTAAACAAACAAACAGAAACTGTACATTGAATTCTGCTCTATAAGTTCCATAACTTATGCATGTTCTCTGGACAGGATGTGCTGATTTTTACTTATTTTAACATGCAATTTGACCAGGGGTGTTTGAACTTTTGCATGCAACTGTAGCGACTGGTATAAGCTTACTATCATTCTGAACTTTAATAGGCACAAAAGTCTTACACTGTCACTCTCTCAGAAAGAGCACTGAACAATTCCTGCTATCAGTTAATCAATTTAACGATCAATTAGAAATTGATTGGGGCCAAAGTGGAACTACAGATAGACTTTACTGTGAGGAACCAGGTGGTCGATATCTGTTATGCAATGACACTTGTGGTTGCAAGCAACACAATCAATTGACTGGTCTATAAGGTTACATATGCACAGTGGAGTTTAGATCAGTAACGCATGGAATTCAGAACGGAGAGAAACAGACTTACTGGCTTTGGTCCTGAAGGTTTGCTGCACGAAAATAATTCCTCCTTCTCTTCTGCTTTACTTCATTCAGTCAGTTCAGTCTGGATTTGACCTGCTACTGTCTACACACCTGCTACCCACCTACTGTCTGTCTTTTTAACACAAATTAAGGCTCTACCGGCCTTCCACTCTACCCATTTCTCTCTCAAGCTTCTCTACTCGTACCACTTTATATAAAGAGGAAGTGCAAGCAGATTGGCTGTACATATAAACACGTCTTCTTATAGTGTCTAAAGCAGAAGTGAGAAAAAGGAAGGCCTCAATCACACACACTCCTATGCCTACACCTCACACGTATGCAGCGGAGCGGAGAGACAAAGAGATGCTTTATTTAACTGTTATTTAGGGCAGAGGGCATTTCTCAAAAGGTGAAATGGTCAGCTCCAAATAAAACTGACTCTCAAACATAAACGTGAACTGTTAGGACTAATGATAATTGAACAATTTTAAAGGGCCCATATCCTACTTTTTTCATGTATTATCGTATTTTTTGCCCCTGTGGTCCACTTTTGGGTGGTTTAATATACCAAAAACCAGTAATTATTTATTATGTGACCATATTCCAAAACCATTTTTTTTTTTAGAATTAAAAACAGGCTGTGTTTGTTGCAATGCCTTTAAGACTCATATGCATTTGAACACCCTGGTAAAATGTCACTTTTTGTTAATTTTCCCAGGGAAAATAAGTTAACACATCAGAACTGTAATATGGCTTTTCTTCTGCAAATTTTAGTGCACAATTTCTGTTTATTTGCTGAGCTTAATATAAAACATGCAATAGAAAATATAAATGTGCCATAACATTTGCACAAGTTATGTTTTAAGTTTAATTTTTTTTCCCCAGTAGGGTAAATTTGGTAAATAAATCATTTTTGCATTACATAAAATAAAGTAATTATGCATTAAAATGAAGTGTATTCTCTGCAGAAGTTGTGCACTTATTTTCCCTCAACATGTAATTTGACAGGAGCACCCACAATGCAACTGTGTATATAGACAGCGTGATTCAAAAACATTAATCTGATTTCAAAGCACCATATTTTTACGACCGTGAGGCGCCTAGGAACCAATCACAATCCAATTGAAAGAGGGGGTCATAGAGTTTCTGGCTGTCAGTGGAAGATGGTTCCCTTCAGTCTGAGAGGAGATGCGACCCCTGTGCAGAAAGCGTTCTGCGTTCTCCACTTAAATAAGAGTGAATCCGTCATAACTGTGCAGTGTGATTTTTGTGGGTAGTGAAGCTCCAACAGCTCAGAGCGTTCGTCGTTGGTTCCACAACACTGGATGAGCTCCGAAATCGCACTGAAAGAGCCGTGAGTGCAGCGACACCCAGCATGCTCAATCGAGTATGGGATGAATTTGACTATGGTGTTGATGTTGTCCGTACAGCTGGAGGAGGTTCACACTGAGTACTTGTAAAATTACATAATAAATATTATGCTCATTTAAACCATTTACAGCTTACTGCATTGTCCTGTAATGATTTACAAGTAAAATCTACATCATTTATTTTAAAAAAGCAAATGTTTTTCATGATATATGCTCTTTAAAACCACTATGAGTGCATCTGCACCACTACAAAGAGCATGAAATGTAGCACTGAGTTTGCAAAAAGGAAGAAAGAAAATTGAGAAAAAAGTCTTGAAGTGCAAATGTGTGCAGACACAATAAAATCTGGATGTCTGGATGTCTCCACACAGGGCCTTTAACAGTCATCCATGTAAAAGACCTCAGGTACAGAGAAATGAACCCTCCACTTTGTGTACATCTCAATTTTATTCCAACAAAATACAGACTTGCTGACACAAAACTACACAATTTCTTTCTTCTAACTGCTGAGAAAGGCGTATCTTGCAACCAATAGAGACAGAGAGAAGCAGAGGGATTCTGTTAGCACTGTGAGAGAGCAATAGTGTGGGGTGCAAGCTTCACTAAATTGAAATACACTCATTTTTGAAATTTTTGCATAATTAAATGGTTAAGATGTAAACAAAGTCATTCAGAGTGGTCTGACATGAAATGCACCTTCTAGACAAATTGAGTCAGAATTGTTTAGAGCAGTGGTGATAGGAACCGCCTGAAGTCTGAAGAGTTTAATAACTCCAAAAAACACAACTTTTCAGAAAGAAACCATCATGAATAATATCTGAGACATTGTTTTTGACAGATTTGAAATAAGACTTTGGCCTAAAACAGGTTTAGGGCATTAAAAGGTAAACTACCAAACTGAAAAGACTAGTTCAGACCAGCATGCATTCCATGCTATGCTAGTCTGCTGCTGGTTTAGCTGGGCACCCAGCACTGTCATGCTGGTTGACCAGCATACCAGCATCGAAAACGCAACATATACTGGTTTTGCTGGTGAGGGTGATTTTTCTAGCAGGGTAGTATGGTTATTTTTTCAGATTTACCACTATTTTACAATTTTTTTAAATGTTACATATAAAAAGACACATGTAGGTTCACTAGTCGTTTTGGATAGCTGTGGACATAGCAATCCCTGGTTCCAGTCACCACCACTGTAAGGAAATTCAATTCAGTGGTTTCTCTACAATAAACCATTCCACCTCAGACCCTTCTGAATTACTGTTTGCATCTCACTGATTAAATTGTGCAAATTCTTTTTTTAAAACTCATCGATGGAATTCCCCTAACAAAAACAGACACAGGCAGCCCAAGTATTGAAACCACTTTTAAAGTTTAGGGGGAATTCCACTGATTTTTCAAACTTCACAATTCATAATTCATAAATCTTTAAGGTGTAAACAAAGTCACTCAGAGTGGTTTGGTGTGTAATGTCCCTTCTAGAGAAATGTACCAAGTCAGAATTGTTCACAGTGGCGGTGATAGGAACCAGACATCCACCTCTAAAAGCTCCCTCACAGAAAGTTATTACATGAAAAGGTTTAGGGGTTAAAGGTGAACATGCTGCCTGAAGTCTGACTATAGTTTTGAGAAGATTTTGGCCTAAAATGTATTTTTCTTAATCCATACATGGTGGAGGGATACATACAGGGTGTTGTAAGGCAGACATCTGAAGAGTTCAGTGTCTCTAAAAGCTACATCACAGAAAGGTTTTACCTACATAAATTTGGTTATGAATTTGGTGCCTGATGTCTGACATTGTTTTATATATTAGTTTTCCCAGCTAGAAAAAACAGCATATGTTATGTTTTGGATGCTGGTATGGTGGTCAACCAGTATGAGCATGCTGGGGTGACCAGCTAAACCAGCACAGACCAGCATGAAATGCATGCTGGCCTGTGCTGTTCTTTTCAACAGGGTTGGCCTAAAATGTACTTTTAAAGACGTATTCAGGGTGGAGGAGTACCTGCAAGGTGCTGTGAGGCAAAATAAAACAAAGAAAACTTATTTTTACCATAATCAACATATAAAAACTCATAAGACACATGCAGGTTCACTTGTATTTTTTAGTAGCGAATAAAATGGCTATATTTGCGTTGTTGACATCAAGAGTCCTGGTTCCTATCCCCACCACTGTAAAGAAATCTTAGTCTTCAAGTTTTTCTACCATGAACCGTTTGATATCAAACCCCTTTTGAATGACTGTTTACATCCCAACAACTTAATTATACAGGGATTTTGAAAAATCGATGGAATTCCCCTTTAACACTAAAGGACGGGCAGCCTGCCTCTTCACCCTGACGGTTTATTGGGCAACAACTGCTGCCGCCATGACGATGCCAATATGACAGTACCCCGGGCTTCCTCTCAGGGACACGCAGAGGTGTGTTGGACGCGTGTATGTCTTGTTTTAAATCCCCATTCGAGCAAATATACAGCTGACGACTTGTGTTATGTGTGGTAAAGCTTACTACATCGACTCCATCCGCCCGTTTCAAGCAGAGAAACAACGCTCATTGTTTTTTTCCTTTTCTCTCCTGGAAGAAAATGTCGAGAGACTTTTTCAACGTTCCTTCTTCTCCTCCTCAGGATTTCGCGCCTAAAACGCAGCACGAGCTCGGAGTGGCTCGTCTGCGGCGAGCGGAGGCCGCCTCTGATTGGCCGAGCCCTACGTCAATTACACTTCGGCCGCGCCCCCTCCCCCCCATTCAACCACTGGCTCTAATGTAGCCCAGCTTCACTGTTTACTACAGAATTAGTGCATAGCGGACGGCAGTCTCTCCCTCATCTGTGAACTCCGAATTGTGAAAGATAGCCTGTTAGTTTCGCGTAAAAGGAGAAAATTTATCCAAAAGTCAACATGCCCAAGAGAAAGGTATGTAGAAAAGCCGAGCACAGCATGCGGGTATACTTTTGTCCCTCACAAATCAGTCGTGAAATTAGGAAGCCCTCGAGACAACGAGGGATTTTTTTTTTTCATAAAAATCCCTTCGACTTTTCTAGAATCTGTCGGCGGAGATCGAAGCGTCGTTATTTTTAGGATTTTTCTGACAAATCACCGTATTTTTCCTCGACCGCGGCGCGAATAGGGAGACGTTTTCTTTTTTCCTCGGGCAGCGCTTTCTCCAGCTCGGCTGTGGGCAGGAGTAGTGAGATCTCCATGCCCGTGTAGCCGCAGCCATGCTGCTGTATACTTCCCTCGCTCCCGTTCATCTCGAAGGCAGCTGCGCGGAAAAAGCGGCGGATTATAAGCGCGATAGGGCGCGAACCGCCGTCGAAGGGCCGCGAAAAAATACGACGACGACCCCAATTTCGGAAACCGCATCGATTTCCCTCGGAGGGCGTCGCGTTAATATAGAATTTTAAACGTTTTCTTTGTTCGCCGTGGACGACGGGCGTGTCATGACGCCTTCTTGCCGCCAGATGGCGCCGGAGAGGCGCTGTGATTCGCGCCCCTCCCCCTTTGGAGGAAAGGAGTTGAGCCTCCGCCGCGAAATGTCTCCGTGCAGAATCGGCGCACATAAACCTGCGTTTCCACACACCCGGTTAGATAACCTGCTGTGCTCAAAACAAACTGGTCGTGCAGGAATAGGCCACGTTTAAAAGATGTTTCTGATCAACGCGCTCTTCCCGGTCCGCACAACACTGTGGGACCGGGTTTAGACGAGCCCACGACTTCTTCACGACCTGCATACGACTTTCACGACTTTTTTCCCCTGCTGTTATGTTCTCAGTCCTCTCCCTACCTTTTACTTTTGAGCTTTTGGTGTTTTTTCGTTGCTTTTCAACCCAGTACACACTTGTATGGTTGCATTTGGGACGCTAATGTTAAAACAGCACGTTTGTGTTATTGTTCTACTTTATGTACATCATTTTTCTTTGCTTTTCAAGTAACAAAATGCAGCAAAAATAGCTGCCAACTGCTTTAAAACGTGTCAAAACATTATCAGAATTGCTTCATAGTTTATTTTAGGAGTATACAGCTTTAAATAAACACAATACACTTATAAAAGTCTTTATTTTCAGGGTTTTTTTGTTGTTTATAACTGTTACACTTAAAAAAGATGGTTGTTCAGTAAAGGCAATGGTTCTATGTAGAACCATGAGTTCTAGAAGGAACCGTTTCATGCATAAATGTTCTTCGCATGGTGAAATGGTGTTTTATATGGTTTTACAACCACATACAACACATTCTCCATCAGTCTGAAGAACAGTTTGACCATGCAAAAACCTTTAAGCATGTAATGGTTCTATGCAGAACTCATGGTTCCAAATAGAACCATTTCCTTTATTGAAGAACCGGCAAACCACATGACTGATATTTCTGTGTTTGTCTATTTGCAGGGAACCGATGGAGAGGTCAAGGAGGAGGTAAAAGCGAAATAAAAATCAATAAAAAGGCTCAAAACAATGTTTTAAAACAATAAAATTCGAAATAAAAGTCCTGTGAGAGGAATATGAGTTCTGTTTTTTAGTTAATACCTCTGCTCACCTTGTCACACCTGACATAACCCTGTGTTTTGCCTTCATAGCCTCAAAGAAGGTCTGCCAGGTTATCTGCAGTAAGTATCTTATTCACCTTCAGTTTTTTCCCCTTTTCTTTCCACTGACATGTACATAAAAAAACTGTATGTGGCTGTAAAGTGAGTCACATAACTTAATATGAAGTAAACAGGCATCTGCACACAACTCAATTTCATATGTATCCACACACAAGGGGGTGCTATTACTGAGACAAGACTTTTTCCTCTGTACCTTAACTTTAATTTCTTTTATTTAGGATGGTATTTCACAATTCCAGTGTTTAAGTTTCCCTATCCTTCTTAAATACATTTTATTTAGCATATTGAGGGTTTGATAATTACCTAAAGAGTTGAATCTGGTGTATAAGAGCAGTAAAAAACAATAAACTGTGCACTAAGTGGCCTGTGACTGAGAAACGCTGGTCCAGGAACAGTAATAATCTCAATCTGCAAAAGTTTAAATCTATTGGGTATTAAATTCTGACCTTGCAATGCTTTTATTTAGCTATTACTCTTTAGAGGAAAAATACTCTCAGTACACTACAGAAAGCAAGTCTTTTAATTTTGTATTAATTAATTATTTTATGATATTAATATTTTTTGTGAATAAATACAGTTGTTTGCAAATGTTTGACCACTTTTAATCAAATTACATGTGGAAAATTTAATATGAACTTAAACGTGGTGTTTTTCTTCTAATCTTAATGCACAGTTTCTGTTTATGTGTGGAGTTTAATATATTGGGGGGAAAAATAAAATGTGCTGTAACTTTTGCACATGCCACATTTTATTTTTTTTAAAAATATTTTTACATTTTATTTTAAGTTTTTGTGGTCCACAATATCAAATTTAGTAAATAAACAGTAATTGCGCATTGAAATATGCAGAAGAAAAATGTGTTTTCATAAGGGGTACCTGAACTTTTGCATATTGCTGTTAAATTCTGGCACACACAAAATTAGTGCACAGTTTGTATATTGTTGTAATCCATTAGAATCAGTGGTCCATTTTACATCCATATAACTCATAAAGACAAAGACGCAGTGAGGACAAAAAGTAAACATCACTCGAACTGCTGATGCCTGTCCAGTTAATTGTAGTGCAGAACTGCAGCAGGGACACTTTACAACACAGGATGGGTCAAAACAGTAAAGCTACAATTCCATTCTTAGGCCATAATCCCATTTCACCCCTCACCCCTACCACTCAGCCCTACTCCTCCGTTTTGTGCGTTCACGTCTAGGGGTAGGGTGTCCTGATTCTTGTTGAGATAGGGGGTGGGGCGAAGTGTTGGGGCTACATGACCCTCCAAATGGAGGTTTTTCAGACTCCAAACAGAGAGTTATGAGGAAAAAAAGAAAAACCGGCAAGATGGCTGAACAAGAGACCAAAGAAACCCACAAATGTGAGAATTTTCTCAGTTAAAATTATAATAATCATTGTATTATTTTAGTTTAATGTCGTTTTAATGTATTATGCTCTTTTTCTTCATAACAAGCACCGTTCCACCTTAAACGGTGCAGCAGTTACATTCTGGCGCCTCAGGCATCAGAACTGCTGTACCGTTTAAGGTGAAACAAGAAAATTTGAACAAGAAGCTGGTGAATATCTGACTTCAGCTTCATATCACTGAAGAATTAGGGGTGGGCGATAATAAATAATTGCCCCCTTCTTTGAAGGCATGTGATGCCCTAAATGTAACTAAAGTCCAGCAGTGAGGAGCTGAACTTTACCCTCCTCTGCTGTCACTGCAGACTGGCAGGGTCGCCTACAGAGCAGCACTAGTAGCTATAATACTCTTTTTATTTGAGGGTCCCATTTCAGAGGGAAGATTTCAACAACTACCCCTTGTATCTCAGTTCTAAGGGGCAAGGAGACACTCAAAAACAAGGGGTAGGGGTAAAAAGAAGAAGTGGGACTGGGCCTGACACTGCAGTCTATCTAGTACACAAGAAATCCATGTTTTGGATGAGACAGATCCTGTTTTGATCTGCCATAGCTTTCTGTTAGTGCCGTAATTACCCTTTTTTGATGGTTGAATGAATTGCTTCTGTTTCTCGTAGAAACCAGCTCCTCCTAAACCTGAACCCAAACCCAAGAAAACACCCAAGGTAAGAAGATCAGGATCAAAAGGAATGTTTTTATATCCCAGCCATATACAGTGTAGAGTGGAGTTAAATAATATTGTTCCAGGGCCCTGATGCACATACAAGTCTTCACCAGTGTTTACAAAACCACACGGCATGAATGAACAAGACGTAGACATAGACTACTCAGTGTAGTTACGCAACAGAGAGCAGTACAGTGAGAGAGCAACAGCCCAATTAGACTCAACAGTGCAGTACAGTACGCTAAAATACAAAACAGTGAGTACAGATAACTGTAACTTACAGTACAATAAATACAGTAAAACAAGACAAAGCATAGAATTACAGTGTGCTAAATTACATCATAGTAAACAGGGCTGGAAGATTCATCATTTTTTATATTGAAATTGCAATTTAAGACGACTTTCAAAACGCAAGAGCTGCAAATTTTGCTAAAATTATAGCCTACACTTAAAAAAAAAATGTAGAGGCCATCATTCTATATATAACCATGAACACTCAAAGACCCATTTGCCTGCTTAAATGTTTCTTTGCATGGTTAAATGGTTCTTCAGATAGAACCCTTGAAGAACCATCTTTGTGTGTACATTAGCAGAAATGTTGTTTTAAAGTTCTAAGGGGAAATTGAACTTAATGAGTTTGTGAACTGCCTGTAGATGAGTTAGACCAATCAGAGGCAACCAAACCTCCATGTGTTGTGACATCACAACCACGACCTACTGGCAGTTTGGCCCACTACACTCAGGGGTTGAGCCTCAAGCCAAAAAAGTGGATATTCTGGTCTTGTTGGCCAAAATAAATCAGGCCTGAATCTCAATTTATAAAAAAATTGCAATTTAAATCGCAGTTGCAATATTAGTCTGAAAAATCGCAGTTAGATGTTTTCTAAAATCGTTCAGCCTTAACAGTGAGTTCACAGACTTCATATAGTGCAGTCAAGCAAGATAATACGGTAAAATATGTTAAACTGCAGTATAATTTTAACCCTTGAACAACAAGATGCTACACATTTCATTTCATGTAGTTTATAATTTATGACCGTTATTAAACGAAAAACTTCTAAAAGCCTTAGAAGGTCTAGGTTTGAAACGATGGCTGAACCCTAAGCCCAAGATAGAAAAGTGCAGAGGGTAAACAAACCTATACACTTAACACTGTTTTATCACTCATGCCACAAAATGGATGACGCAGGACTGTAATATCTGTAGCACTTTGTTGCGATCTGTGCCGTGATGTGCGACCTGTGATGCAGCCACTGCCGCATCACTCATCTCACACACAGGTACTCAGTGTGGGGGGCAATAAGGACTATCTGGCTCACAGGATGGAGTGGTATTGGTGCGACTTTGGAGCAAGAGAGGGAGGGAGGGAGGGAACACTGATCCTCCAACTTTCTGAAAAGCTACTCTGAGCATCAATCTGCCCTCACACCGCACCCACACTCGGGTATGCAACAGTGCAGTTAAACAAGACGGTGCAGTGAAGTTTATATCGCTACAGTAAACAACATGATAGTGCAACTAAACAGGGCCGCCATAGTGAGTCACTCTAGAGTTAAGTTATAGATGCCTTTGGAAAAACATGGAGCGTTTTCAGTTTTCATAATGCAGTTAATACTTTAATACAGAAAATACTGCTAAATTTACATTTTTTAAAGGACTCAGTATAACTCGGTGTAATAAAAGTAAAAATTAATAAAACGTGCTGTGTACATGTTATTTAATATTATTTATTACTTATCTCTGATCCTGTTTTCCGGCTTTAGTCAGGGATTAGAGGAACTTTCTCTACTTCTAAAGGTTTCCAGGTTAGAGGTAGCTGCTCCAGGTTTAAACCCTTTCACTTTGGCTTGGTTGTTTTACTGCTGCGAGTCACACTGAAAAAGTGAAGTCAGCAATAATTTTTGGTTCCATTTTTTTTAAGCTAAACTTAACCTAAAATACATTAAGTAGAAGAAGAGCCGTGAGGTAGGTAAAGCTGGCGTTACAGTGTGCAGCAGAGAGAGAGATCAGGCTTTGTCTTTGATAAACAGAACAAAAATCTTGGGGTCCCTGCATATTTAGCAAGCTGTATGGTAAATTAGTTCCTTCACATATGAACTTCTGTATGATTGTATAAATACAAAAGTTCAAAACTGATCTCATCTGTTCAGGGTGTAAAGAGAAAATAAAAAATTGTAATTAACAAACCCACAAAATTCAAATCTCATCACAGAACACTTTCAATTTGAGTTTGCGAGTTCAGACCATGCGGGAAGACTGATTGAGGGAGGGGGGAGAACTGTGGCTTGAAGGCCAGACCCCCTCATAGCTGTAGTAGGACTGATTCAGGACTGAGGAACAGGGAGGAGACGGGGTGGTGGTGGGGACTGCGAACACTTCGTCATGGGAACAGAAGATGAGTATGTGAATTTATAGGGCGTTAGATTGGAAGAAGGAGGGGTTTCAATCATGCTCCTCCCCCCAAACTTCAGTTATAACATAACCACATTTAATGTAATTAGATGTTGTGACACAGCTGTAAGCATTTTCAGATTATGTAAAATTAATAAAAATGGCTATAGAAGGTTTTATTCTGACAAATGTTCCCTCACATACAGATACATAACCTACAAGCGTGAATTCATTCCCTCTTACTGATTCATCGTTTGAAGTTTGAGATTTTCTTTTTTCGCTGTCTCTTTGATAGAAAGAGAAAGAAGTGAACGACAAAAAGGAGGACAAGAAGACAAAGGCAAAGGCTGAGGAGAACAAGGAGGAGAACCAGTCAGAAAACGGAGAGACCAAGACTAATGAGGTACGTACACACACACACACACACACACACACACACACAGACACAGACACAGACGTACATGTAGAAGCAGTCAAGGTATTTCAGTGCAGCGGTCCTTTGCTGTACTGTTAAAAAGGGAACACTGAAACCCTCTACATGAATTAAAGGGTTCTTTGCATTGTTAGAGTTCTTCAGACTGATGTAGAATGTGCTATAGATGGTTCTGAATAAATTCTTTTTGAAAATGGTTCTATATAGCACCCAGAAGGGTTCTTCTGTTGTAACAATGTCAAGCTTGTTACAATAGAAGAACACTTTTTGGTGCTATATAGAACCTAATCTAATTTAATTCCAAAGAACCATTTCACGATGCAGAGAACCCTTTAATCATGCAGAGAGTTCTTTGAGTGTTCATGGTTCTATATACAACCATTTTCTTTACTAAAGAACCATCATTCTACCCTTTTTGAACACTCAACCCTCTGCATGGTTAAAGGGTTCTTTGCATCATGTAAGCGTTCTTCAGATTGGTGGAAGATGTGCATGAGTGTGCTACAGATGCTTCTGTATAGAACCTTTTTGAAAATGGTTCTATATAGCACCTAAAAGGGTTCTTCTGTTGTTAAAATCTTGACACTATAACAATAGAAGAATGCTTTTGGTGGCTATATAGAACCATTTTTAAAAAAAGGTTCTATACAGAACCATCTACAGCACATTCTCCGTCAGTCTGAAGAACGTTTCATGATGCAAAGAACCCTATAATCATGCAGAGGGTTCTTTGAGTGTTCATGGTTCTATATAGAGCCATTTTCTTTACTGAAGAACCTGTTTTTTTTTAGTGTGTACCATATAATGTCTATGCTTGATGTGTACTTGATTGAAAACGATTATAATAGATTAAGATTGATGCAGCTGAATCAGCCCTTATTGTTAATAGTGGCCAAAGAAAGGCATGTAAAGTGTACCGTCTATGTACTTCACTCCAAATAGGGCACGTAGCAGGACCAGACGTCAGTGCTGAAAGTCTGAAAACACTTAATCTTATGTTCCTTTGAGATTTATAACCTATTTTTCCAGGCAGACCCTACAGATACACACACAAAGCAGGATATAGGCACAATATTACAAGGAACAGAGCGTATGTATGCATACTGTACATAACTTTTACATGATTCTGTTGGTTAGAGATGGCACAATACTACTGAGGCCTATATAATTGATGGATAGATTTATATATACACGTACATATGTACACAGTGATGACCACAATCTGCAAACTTACACACTTAAAGATAGTTCTTTACTAAAAGCAATGGTTCTATATGCAGCCTTTTCATGCTTAAATGGTTCTTTCCATGGTGAAATGGTTCTTCAGATTGATGGACAATGTGTTGTGTATGGTTCTATATAGAATCTTTTTATTACGGGTTCTGTATAGCTCCAAAAAAGGTTCTTCTACTGTTGCAAGCTTGGCATCATAACAATAGAAGATGTTTAGCTATTTTCAAAAGGTAAAACCATATACAACACATTCTCCATCAGTGTGAAGATCTATTTTACCATGCAAAGAACCATATAAGCACAAAAAGCACTACGTGAATTTTTTTTTTTTTGTATATTTATTTTTAGTTTGTGAATCTCATTTGTGCAAATAAATCCTGCACAAAAATATGCAGGAAAGTGCCATATTTAAATGTGCTCCCTATAAAGGGAATATTTTCACTTAGAAAAATTAACAGAACATAGTTTGACCAGGGGTCAAGATACAGAAACATGCCGAATATAATAATGTCAAATCCAGATTTATCTTGAGTAATCAGATAATGGGGAAACTCCAGGTCTATGTGAGTCAGACGGTAATCAGATTTTTGCTTTACAAACAGCCAATAAACTCACAGAAGAAGACATGACGTAAACGAAATGTAAAACTCAAACATTGCGCCACTTTACAGAAGTTTACTAGAGGATGAAGAATATTTAAATTCTTCATTTCGTCAAGCATGTATTTGGTTTCTCCAAAAGTGTTTTGCTGCGTCTCGCGGCGACGCTGCTCACTTGTTTCTGGTACTGCCGTCTGTTTTCACACATGCGCAGACTGAGAAATAAGAAATCAGAGTAAGAGTTTACAGCACTGAGAAATCTAATTACTGAGCTAACATCCAGCTCTCTTTATCAGATTTCTAGAATTACTCTGATCTAAGAAATCAGAGTGTGCTGTTTAAATGACCATTTGAATAATCAGATAACTGCATAAATCCGATTATGATCGGATTATTGAGTGTATGTAAACACATTCAGTGTGGCATAAATTCTGACATCCAACACACTTTGAGACCCGCTTATTTTAAGTGCTTTAGATTGTCCTAAATTGGCTTACAGTTGTCTTTATGAAAGAGTAGTGTGTGTGTGTGTGTGTGTGTGTGTGTGTGTGTGTGTGTGTGTGTGTGTGTAAGTAAGAGTTTCTACACTCATGAAATGTTCTAGATTACATGACTTGCAGGTCTTGAAGCTTTTATTCCTGCTTTTTACTTGACTACATGAGGCAAACATGTAAAACACTATTGAATTAAACAAACATTGGGACACTAAAGTCTTTAACTGATGATTTGTATCAATGCTTTTACTCACAAACAGAAAATTTTATTTGAGTCGTTGTTCTTTGCATAAATTAAACCCACAGAGCCAGTTTCACAGACCCATATTTATCTTATGCCCAGAAAAGCTTTTCAGTGGATTCACCATTGAAATTACAGTTTAACCCAAGTACAAGAAACCTGTTCAAAGTCTTGTGTTTCTTAACCAGCCGATGAAAAGTTGGAGCTTGTTTTTGAAGATATAGACTCTAATGAGCTGGACATCTGAAGACTCCTGTTGAAAAGCTTAGTGTCGTATTGATCTGGAGGGTGTTTCTAGCTCCGGTGCTGTAATCTACCGTAGTTTTCTCTGCACCCGTCATAGTGATCAAGCTAATGATCAAGTCCTTCTGGAGCTGAATCTGGAAGGTATTTCACAAATCACTGTATTTAGACATTGTTTTTTAGGCTAGAAACAAATGAAGCTATGAAATAACTAGGCTGGATATTATAAGCAACTTTGCAATATAAACAATTTAGAAAAATCAGATAAATGAGGATAAAGATTAATATCGATATTTTCATTATTTAATACCATGGGTATTCTCTATCAACTTAATTAGTATTTTACTGCTGTAAAATACAACTTTACAGAAGGAGGAAAAAACATACCATACTTTCAATGTAAGTCAGTGGAACCAGACTTTTTTCCAAGTCATTTTGGGTCGTTTCTTTTGGTCCATTCATCATGAAATTGGCACAGTGTCAAGGAAAACAGGCTTTTCTCAAATTATGTCAAAAAATGAAAAATGGAGATGTGAAGTTGGAGGTGTTAATTGGCCGGACTGAGCATGAGAAAAATGATGACTTCATTGCTGTTAATATTTTGATGACTCCATTGGTTTTCTTTCTTTTCCATTTTTGTGCCCAATTCTTTAAAAGGAAAACATCATAGTGAAGACGTTACTGTGTTAAAAATGGTCAGATTTTTCATCTGTGAGAATCAGCTTGGTATGAAAAGACAACCCAGCACCAAAATAATTAACTAAAAATAAGAAAAATGCTGCTTCCAGTGTTTCTTGGCGTAGCAGCACATCGCAGCTGATAGGCCAGCTCACTGCTGCTGGTTGTGCAAATGAAGTAAAACCAGGACCGGAGGGCAGGATCATGGATTGGAGTGCAGAGCACTCGCATTTACAAACTGGAAAGTAAAGAACTAATCACAAAGTGATCCCAGGCCGAGAAAGAACCGATGTTTGGGTGAAGGACCGTGTCTGAAGCTCCTCGTTGTTGCTGTCTGATTACGTATTAATTTCCATTTGTACGTTCTGTTTTTCCCTCTCCCCATTTCCCCTCATTTCTCCTTCTCATCTCTGATCATCAGAGTGGGTCTGGCGTTCTAGTGTTACAGCAGAAGCTGCCTAGAACTTCAGCCAGAGTTTTCAGGATTTTCTCTGCTTTTACAGTCATACAAATGTTCTAGATAGTTTTCTTAAAATACAGCCATCTGGTGAAGATGTGGTCTGAACTCCTCACTTACATTCATTCATTCATCCATCAGTTTCATTCATTCAGTCATTCATTAATTTCATTCATTGATGTTCACTTTAATTTATTGTACCAGTGAAGTCATATTTATTTATACACCCATAAAAAAGATGGTTCTTCAAGGGTTCTTTAGTACAGACAATGATTCTATGTAGAACCATGGACAATCAAAGAACCCTTTGCATGATTTTAAAGGGTTCTTTGTGTCATGAAAGGGTTTCAGGTTGATAAATGTGCATGAGATGGTTCTATATAGAACCTTTTTTGAAAACGGTTCTATATCACACCAAAAAGGGTTCTGCTGTTGTTGCAACATCAAGCTTGTTACAATAGAAGAACCCTTTTTGGTGCTGTATAGAATCTAATCTAATTCCAAAGAACCATTTCATGATGCAAAGAACCCTTTAATCATGCAAAGAGTTCTTTGAGTGTTCATAGTTCTATATAGAACTATTTTCTTTACTAAAGAACCCTTGAAGAACTGTCATTTTACCCTTTTTTTTGAAAAAGGTTTTCTGTAGACCAAAAAGGGTTCTGCTATGGTAACAATGTCAAGCTTGTTACAATTGAAGAACCCTTTTTGATGTTCAGCACGTTTAAAACAAGTGCCACACAATCCAGTAAAATATGAAAGAAAACAAATGTATAGACCAGGAATTAGGAGAATAAAATATGCAATAGAAGTGATATAATATTAACAGTAATAAAAACACAAATAACAAAATCCACTGCTCAGAATATACGGTCAGAAATGCTGTCCAGACTGGCTGGGACAAAACCACATTCACGTTAATCTGGCAGGTGATAAAGGTTTAAAAAGCTAAGATGAACTTGAGATTTTTAAAGTTGGTTTTATTGCAAATTCTTTGGATATTCGACTTTACATTTTCAAACCTAAACGACCAAATAGATTTCAGAAATGTCCACAGTTAAATTTGGCTGAATGTGGTTCTGAAACACAGATCACCGACACTAGGCTGGGCCTACGCTACATGATTTTTTGCCCAATAATCCTGATTTGCCCTTCGCAATCTGAAACGATTTTCCAGGTCGGAAGATCGATCAGAAGCGACTGACGGTGTGGATGTTCTGGTAGTGCGAGCGGAGAAATGAGTGAATCATTAGCCCTCTGATCGAACAACTCTGAAGTGATCAGAGACCCTCCGATATTATTAAACATGTTTGATATTTACAACTCAAACCGTTCACGAGTCCTGCAGTGAGAGAAGGTCAGAGATTTACACAATGAGTGATTCAATCAGCCAATCAGAGCTTGAAAAGCGGAGAAACAGGTGGAGAGACGCGCCTGAGCAGCGGAGCGGAGACAGAGGAGCTGCAAGTAAAACACGGCAGATTAGAGCCGAAATCATGATTGTAGTGTTGATCCAGATCAGGTCGCTGTCTTTACAGCTTCAGCTCAGCTGCCAGTTTGTAGTGAAATATTTCTCCAGCTCTCACTGAATCAGCGGTTCTCTCCACAGATTAATCCCCAGTTTGCGCTTTCGTTGCGCGTTAAAGCACAAACAGGACCAGTAAGTTCAGCTCTGTTTGTGTCATGTGATCTGAGGAGATCTGGGAGTTTGAGTTCTTATTCGTAGCCCGAACTCGTTAGCTGCTTTCCAGAGCCAGGACTGCAGCTGAAGTAATGCATGTCCTCGGTAGGACAGTCCTTAGTAGCCTATTGGTCACACAAATGGAACAGCACTAACGAGGCTGCGTGGTAATATTCATATGTAGACTGATAAACTACGTTAAATGAATACTTGTAAATAAAATACGATATACAGACGCTATACGATGGACGAATACTTTAATTAGTGATTTTACACTTTATAAGGTAACGAAGACGAATTCAAGTACGTGAACAGCTTACATTTTAAAACAAGCTCTGCTCCAACGGCTTCGGTTTCTGCCATTTTCATGAATTTTTTATTTTATTTTTTTCCCTTCATTTTTTCCATCATTCAGGCACAGAGAACTGTCGGTACCGAAGGTCTGGAAAGATACATCTGTTCCGTCCTTGAAATCACTCAGAACGTAGGCTGCATTTCTAGGCCGAATACGAAGGATCCTTTACTTTGGAACGGCCTTCTATGACATAGCGGCTGAGAAATGCAGCTGATATGTGTGTTATACTCTTTCTTTGCTCTGTCGTCTAGTCTGAGCGTCTCACGACAACGAGACAAGGAATTCAGTGACAAACTGACGTTAAGTTTGTGATGCTGTGTGTTTTAGAAATCTGTTAAGATTTTAAAAGCTGTAGTGTCCAGCCAACCTTTATGGTGTCATGAAGGTGTCGTCAAAACTGTGCTTAAGTTTTATATTCTTAGTATTTGGCTAAACGAAGGTAAAATCTTATCAAATCACTCATGTGGAGAGAGTCGTGTTCCTTAACTGGGATTAGTAGTTGACTCTTTTACTTCAAGTGATTCGATGTGATTTTGCCTTATTTTAGCTAAATACATGGGGGGATACATATGTTATAGTGTGTTCTCAGGAGAGAAGAAATGTGGGTTTGATCATTTTTGGATGTTTGTTTTATGAGGAAAGTAGAATATCCTGTGAATGTCCAACTTCACTGCTCCATAACACATAAAAATGCTGCTTTTTTGGTGAAACGTATTGTCAGTGTTGAAGCACATTGGATGAACTGTTGGCAGCTGCTTTGTTTTACTTTGTTTATCACTGCTGTTGGAACAAAACCTCATATCTCCAAAATGGTAACTTTACAGGAGAAGATAAAAACTTACTTTACTTTTAATGCAAGTCAATAGAACCTGATTTTTTTCCCAAGTCATTTTAGGTCATTTCTTTTGATCCATTTCTCATGAAATTTACACACAATGTAAAGGACAACAGGCATTTTCAAATTATGACAAACTGAAAAACAGCAGCAGGGATAGGATTTTTTCCGTTTTTAGCATATGTGCAGCTTTAGCAGGCACACAACTCTAAGGGTAATTCTGATTGGTGCTGGCAACACTGGCTGAAACTTGATTGGTCTGTTTGTCGCCATGCAGGTTGAGAAGACTCCAGAGGAGGAGCCTGAGGGGGAGAAGGAGGAGACTAAGGCTGAGTAGCGCTCCACCCATCCATCATTGTTTTTTTTTGTGTCTCTCTCTCTCTCTCTCTCTCTCTCTCTCTCTTCCCCATCCGTCCGTCAAACTATCCTCCCCTTTCTCCCTCCTCTCTCTCTCTCTCTCTCTCTCTCTCTCCCCTCTTCCCTCTCTCTCTCTCTCTCTCTCTCTCTCTCTCTCTCTCTCTCCCCTCTTCCCTCTCTCTCTCTCTCTCTCTCTCTCTCTCTCTCTCTCTCTCTCTCTCTCTCTCTCTCTCTCTCTCTCTCTCTCTCTCCCCCTCCCCTCTTCCCTCTCTCTCTCTCTCTCCCCCCCTCTCTTTCAGCAGGTTCCGAGCCCCAAACGGATCCCTCTATCCACAATTGTCACCAGAGGAATATTTTTATCAACAATTTTGTAAATACTGGTTCAGGTTTTTAGCACAAAAACAAAAAGCTAAAAGAAGGGGGTTTTCAGCCGTGATCTAAGTTGTCTCCAACACGAGGTGTGAAAAGGCGGCGACTTTGGGTTTTGGTGTAGTTTTGTTTTTTGCTTTTTTTTTCTTTCTTTTTCTTTAATTTTATTATTATTATTTTTTTTAAAGCAGATGGTCTGTATCTCGGTGTCGGAGTTAGAGGCGTTGGACCTGCATTGGTGGCTGGTTGTGTGTGTGTGTCTTAGTGATTGTGGTCTTATCCTGGATTTTGTGCCCTGTTTGTTCTTAATTTGGGGGTTTGTTTTATTTTCTTTTTAAAAAACAAAAACAAAAACCAACGGTTGTCGAGGAGACAGAGGAATCAATCCTACAAAATATTGAAAATAAAACCAAGAAAACTACACAAAACATGTAACATTCCAGGTGCCTCCTGGCTTTGGAAAGAATCATGCCACAGACGCGATCTGATGAACAGTTGTCAGTTAACGGGGACTGTAAAGGGTGGGGTTGGGTGGGGTTGGGTGGGGGGTTATGCAGTTGTGTGGGACTTTTTTTGAAATTATGGGATTTAAAATGTTTTTGGGAGTTTTTTTAACACTGAAAATTCATCTGTGAAAGAGTAGCGTGCCCTGAATCTCACTCAATAAAACCATCATTGGAGTTTTCCTCAAACTGACTTGGTTCAGGTGTCTTTTCTGTGCATGTTTCAGTTTGTAAACTGCAGTGTTACAGAACGAACACTATCATTCAGAGTCTGTAATCACCGGCCATATTAACTTTTCTTTTTTATTAACTTGTACAATCAGGCAAATGTTTTTGTGTCCCTGGCCAAATGACGTTTTGCTGATTTTCTGTATTGTGAGTGTGAGCTAATTCCTGTACAGAGAACACAATTCTGCACATTTTAACCCTTGTGTGGTGTTGATGTGTTACTCAGTGGTCTGCTGGACCCACCACATTATTGTTTTTATAATCAATATGGCCATAACAATTTATATAAAAACACCAGATGTTTAAAATATCACAAGTGTCCAGTGTAGGGTTCTCCTTTAGCAGCTGTAGCCAGTCAGCAGCCTGTACATGTTGTCCACCCTCTCGCACAAACACAGCAGGCCATGTAGTAGGAGAACAGAGTGAAGGACACAGCACCTCCACACTTTTATTCCCTGCGGGTTCAGCCCAACACCACATGTGTAATATAAATGTGTGGGGATGAACAGTGAGAAGGCACTGAAAATGGGTTATTTTATAGTTCTTCACAGAAAATGAGCAAAGACCAAGAATCTGCGGTTGAAATAATAATAAATTGCATCATTTGTTCTTTTGGTAAATATTGAAAATGGGTCCCACAGACCTGAACACCACACAAGAGTTAAAACACAATTAACGTTCATTTCCTTCATTTAACACGTTAGGGGAAAAAATCAAATGAAATTGTTATTGGCACGTCGCATTTACATTGTGCAAAGGTGGGTAAAAATCTTAAGTGGGTAGCCCCCTTGTAGTACTTAAATATAATAGCTCATCTGCTGCTGCACAGTTTGTGTCGGTCATCCTCTTGTTCTTCATCAGTGGTCACAGGACGCTGTTGGCTGGATATTTTTGGTTGGTGGACTATTCTCAGTCCAGCAGTGACACTGAGGTGTTCAAAACTCCAGCAGCACTGCTGTGTCTGATCCACTCAGACCAACGCAACACACACTAACACACCACCACCACGTCAGTGTTACTGCAGTGCTGAGAATGATCCACCTCCCAAATAGTACCTGCTCTGTGAGGGTCCATGGGGGTCCTGACCACTGAAGAACAGGGTAAAAGGGGGCTAACAAAGTATGCAGAGAAACAGATGGACTACAGTCTGTAACTGTAGATCTACAAAGTGCACCTATATAGTAAGTGGAGCTGATAAAATGGACAATGAGCATAGAAACAAGGAGGTGGTCATAATGTTATGCCTGATCAGTGTGTGTATACATATATATATATATATATATATATATATATATATATAGACACACATACACAATATACATTAGTATACACCATTGTTGCACCATTTTAATGTATAGTTTTGTACAGTAATGTAAGTTATGAAATAAATGTTATGATATGTACAGTTGCACACATTGCCGTATATGCAAATTGTGAGTCTGTGGTACATAAATGAGTTGCAGGTTACACAGGATAGAATATTGATGATGTATATCGCTGCTGTCGAAACAAAACCTTCTATCTGTCATTTTTCAGTTTTTGTCATAATCTGAAAAAGCCTGTTCTGTACATTGTGTGTAAATTTCAAACGTTTTGGTTCCATTGACTTACATTAAAAGTAGATTAGGTTTTTTTCTTCTCCTGTAAAACTACCATTTTGGAGATATGAGGTTTTCTTTCGACAACAATGAAATATATTCCAGATTATACGAGATATGGACAGAAGATGTACAAGATGTCAATCTGTATTTGCAGGTATAGATTGGCTAGAAGTTACAGTAAGATCAGAGTGAGTCTGAGGTGTGGATTGTGTGTGGAGATCATGATGATGGGTAATATTTAATTAGTGATATTTTTCCCCTCAAATATGTTAAATTGTGCACGAAAACGTGAAGAGAATTGGCATATTTAGGTTTCCTGTAGAGCAAGTGTGACAGGCTCCAGTCCTCCATAGGCCAAAACACTGCAGACTTCAGCTCACTGCCTCATTAAAGCAAGACCTTCATGAACTGAATTCGGAGTGATAGATGAGGGTAAACGCTGATCTCTGCAGCACTCTGGCACCAAAGGTCCCCACTTTGACATGACTGCTTTCCTTTTAAGGGGGTGGGATGTAGTATTTGTCCCCAAAGAGTGGGGGTGGTGGTGGTGTGGCCCAAGGAATACTGGTCCAGGTGGACAAAAAAAACCCCAAAAACAACACCTAAACACAGACAACACAGTTTGTACAAGTATGCCTGATGTAGAATAAGTTTCCATAATATTCAGTAAATGCTTAACAATATGAAATCTTTATTCCTACTGAGGGGTACATACTGGGTATTCTGCCTACGAGCCGCTTTGACCTCTGTGTTATCGGGTCACGTTGTTCCACTCAGCGGTGTTACTACATGTTGTGGGACTCAATATACATCTTTTCAGTAATGAATGACTCAATGGGAAAAACGATGTTTTAAGCTTCTGGGCTTTTAAATGAATTCACTCTATAATAAAAACATTATTGTACAAATATTTTAATAATTACATTTCAACGGAAAGAGCTGCTTTAAGTTAATTTATTCATGTCAAACACCTGTGCAGGTTGTTGTAAAGGACCCTTTAACCATGTTTAAAATGTCTTCTACATTTACTTTACATACATATTTATGAAGTTTTATATCAGTGGGACACAAATGGCACCAACATAGCTTTGAGAACACTATAATAAACTTGGTATTTGTATATATTTATATATATAAAGTAGTTGTCAAATCTTAAGGCAGGAATTTTACAATATTGTTTACAATAAGAATTTAAACAACATTTATTTGTATTCGCTTTTTACAACTAGTGTTGTCTCAAAGCAGCTTTACAGAAAAGCAGTTTATGAAAGGAAAACAGATTATGGAAGGGTTATTAAAAGAATAAAAAGAAAATAAGAAAATAAAAGAAAAATAAACAGGAATCCATGTATAGATGTAAGGAAGTGAATCCGGGTCCAGGCTTGAACATCTTTCGGAAATATTCTGATTAATCCAGGAGGAAGTAATGTAAAGTTAGAACCATCTCATAGGTTCTCTGTGAAAGTGAGAGATGCTGGTGGCTCGACTTAAATTATTTAAAGCATGTTATTTATCATTGAGGATGTTCGTGTTCAAATATACCACAGATGCCTGCACTCAGCAATTAAACAAGGCTTGTTCAATGTGTTACATTTGAATTTTGTATTTTGCAGAGCAAACGCACCACTAAGTAAAAGGCGCGAGGTTAAGGGTTTGAAATACTGAATAAAACCCTTAAAATAAAAACAAGAAAGTAACTTTTCACTTAGAAAATAAAAGCAAATGTTTGACCAAAGGTGTTTAAACCTTTACATACAAATGTGTATTCAAAAATAACGCAGTGTGTTTTTAGACGTTTTATTACAAATTTCAAGAGTTCTGTGAACGCAAAGTTTTTAATGATAAGTGATACACTGTGATTGTTCACATGAAGTCATCTGTCCTGAGATTTGATCTACACTTTTGAAATATGAGGAGTTCTGAATGTTCATTTCATTCTAATTTATTTCTGATGTTATATAATTTTCTCAGTCATTGTTAAATCTTTTACCGGTGCGTTAATCGTAACAGACACTACAACTTCTTCATTTTGATTTCGTCCTAAGGTCCTAATAACTATTTGAGGTGATGTACAGGATCATATTAGAATCATTTTGTACACTTTTCTTTGCAACCCAAAAATATTGTTGATTCCAAACTTTTGAACTGTAGTATAGTATTTATAGTTCAAAGCTCTGGAATCAGTAGGAGAGTATCTGGCTTTGCACATATTTGATTATGAATCTTTAGTAAACTATTATACACCATAAGAACTCAGATTTCACCTTGATTCAGTTTGATAATTCTGAATCATACCGAAATAAAGTTGAACAATACACAAATGTAACAGAAG